CATAATGTTTCTTAAACTGTGAAAATTCATCATCAGGCATGTTTAAGAATTCCGATCAGAATCGTGGAACCTCTGGATCTGGTCAAGATGACCTTGAGGCACATGGAAAGAATTCTTGTCTGTTTGTCCTCTGCTCTACCTGACAGCCTTTCACTGTCAATACGTCCCAGGCTCCCGCTCTGACCTACACTGTTGTGTGCATAAGTGAAGAATAGATGTGTGAGAATGAAAGGCTGTAACAAAACCCTGTGCGTGAGCTAGGAATGGTCTCAGAGCCCGGGAGGACACTCTCTCCCTTCTGAGGGACTGCAGCTCAGGTGGCCCCCGGAGTGGCCATCACACTGTACTCCACAGACTCTTCAATGACGGATTGCTCAGGAGTAGGGTGTCAGTCTTTCCTCTCAGGGGCCTCGAAGTAAGCGCTGACTCCCAAGCTTGATTTCAACATCGGAACACAGTATCTATCTGCACCGTGGAAGGAGGACTCGGGGAGGTCGGTAGTTGCCGTTGAGTGGATTCAACTCCTTGTGTGCAGAGTAGAACAACTGATCCACAGGATTCCCAAAGCTGTGGCATTTCAAAAGCAGATCATTAGGTCTCCAGGGCTCCATCCGTTTCCTCTTGACAACATGGAGTTCAAACATGTGTGGCCAAAACGCCAGTCTGGGAAATAGTGACCTTTCCCTGCATCGTATCTGGAGGCCCATCTGGGTAGGTTTGAACCACAGACCCTCTGGGTTTGTGCTGAAGCACACGACCCGCTCAGACACTTCGGTTTTGAAGGCTCATAGCCTCCGACCCGTGTGTCAGCAGGGTCATGCAGGGGTTCTCAACTGTCTTCATGCCGGGACCCTTTCATACAGTTCCTCATGTGGTGGTGACCCCCAACCATAAAATTATTTTTGTTGCTACTTCATAACTGTGATTTGCTACTGTAATGAACTGGGCAACCCCTGTGAAAAGGTTGTTTGACCCCCCAAAAGGGTCGCGACCCACAGGTTGAGAACCCCGCCATGGGAAGATTTGCATTTGTGTCTCCCAGCTTCCGGGGTCTCAGGCATCTCTTGACTTACAGGTGCAGGGTGACTCCATGCTCACACCATCCACTGCTTCTCGGCGGCGGCTCTTCTCCTCTTTGCAAAGGACACCACTCAGGTGATGTTAGGACCCACTCAACTCCACGGGGACCGCATGTTAATTTACAACAGCTTCAAAGATCACACACAGTCAACCTTCACAGGAGCCAGGAGTTAGATTGTGGTTTGAGAGGACACAATTCGAGGGCAGGCTCGTGACCAAATGCCAGCCATGCCGCATAAGTGTGCCCTTCAGGACTTTTAAGCACACTGATGGACTCGGTCTGATTTGTTGATTTCCAATCAGGGGAATAAGACAGTTGCTGTTCCGTGATATCTAATTGTTCACTCTTAATGCTGGAGTTGATGCTGACTCACAGGAACCCTTCAGGACAGGGGGAAATTGCCTTGTGGGTTTCTGCGACTAAATCTTATTTTTTATCATTTTATTGGGGGCTCGTACACTTCTTATCACAATCCATACATCCATCCACTGTGTCAAGCACATTTGTACATTTGTTGCCATCATCACTCTCAAAACATTTGCTTTCTACTTGAACCCTTGAGCTCGGCTCCTCATTTTGCCCCCTCCCTCCCCACTCCCCACTCCCTTATGAACCCTTGATAATTTATAAATTATTATTATTTTGACATATCTACGCTGTCTGATGTCTCCCTTCACCCACTTTTCTGTTATATGTAGATCCTTGTAATCAGTTCCCCCTTTGTACCCCACCTTCCCTCCACCCTCCAGGTATCACCACTCTCACCACTGGTCCTGAAGGGATCCTCTGTCTGTGACTAAATCTTATGGGAATAGAAAGCTTCCTCTTTATCCCATGGAGCAGCTGGTGGTTTCAAACGGGTGGCCTTTCTGTTAGCAGCCAGATGCTTCATCAACGGCACCCCCAGGACGCCTAGAATAGTGAACTCGTTGTTGGGTACTGCTGGTGCCACGGGCAAGAAGAGACATCAGCAAATCCCCACCCCACAACCCGCCCCCTCTGTAAAGGTCCACGGGGTAAATATTTTCCTTCTGAGAGCCCAGACATCTTGGTCGCAGTTACTCGACTCTGCCATTACAACCTAAAGCAGCCTTAGGCACGCGGGCATGGCTGTGTCCCAAGGAAGCGTGTCGTCCTTTGACTGTGTGGGCCTGTTTGCCAGCATGGAGAGTGTGGCCCGTGGGCCATGCTGCAGTTCTGGAGGAGAGGCAGAAGCATGCTAAGGTGCCCATGCCAGGAAGGTTGGGCCTGAACCCAGTCCTGAGAAAACAGTGGGAGGGCTCTGGAATGTGGGCCACAGGACAGCTGGCCTGGAGGCTTGCCTCGGCGTCAGGCAGAACAGAGGCTTTTCTGGGTGGAAGGAGAGAATACAGGAAGCATGACTATTTCCGGGATCTGAGACATCAGAGGAAAGCAAACGTGGACTGCGTGTTGGTTGATGTCCTGGAATTAAGGCTGATTTTCTTAGTTAGGCCTCTCTTCGGGTGGTTTGACAAGGTGTTAGCAGTTGGTGAATCTAGCTAAGGGTATCCAGAAGGTACATTGTTATGAATTAGACATTTCCCAAAATAAAAAAAGATAAAGTGCACATGGGGTGGGGGTGGGGGCAATTTGAACTAACTCCAAGATTAACAGTTCAAAACCAGCAGCAGCTCTGTGGAGGAAAGACAGGCTTTCTACTCCCACACAGAGCGAGAACCTCAGAAACCCAGAGGGGCAGTTCTACTCTGTCCTGCCGGGCTGCTGCGTATCGGAATTGACAAGATGGCAATGAGTTGGAGTTTGGGGTGGGGATTTTTGGTTTGGGGTTTTTTTTAACAATGAATAGGAGAAGAAAATGTCCTGAACTTGATTGTGGTGCTGATGGCACCACTCTTCTAAATGTGATTGAATGATTAAATTATACGATATGTGAAGGAAATGCCCATAAATCTATTATTTTTTATTTTGTTCTATATAGCCCATCATCTGGATAAAATAAAAATCTCTGCTTTTGCAGTCCCCCGGGGTGGTTCCAGTGCCCGCCCTGGGGTGGATTACCACCCACTTTGGGAAACGCTGATGGAGACTCTCTGAGTTTCCCCTCCAAGGATGGCTCTTGGGGTTGCAGGTACTAAGGGCATGGAGAAACCAAAGGGCCCTTGGAGGGAACCCGAGGGAGCAAGCATCAGGGTGTTCACAGTCCCTTTCTCCCATTCCACCCTACCTATTCCAAGGAAGCCCTGACTTTCAGAAAGCAAAGGCCCAAGTGGATTTGTCATCAGAGCCTCACCGACTAGGGGTGGCAAGAAGCAAAAGCCAGTACGTCGGATTGCCGTGGGGCTAGAGCCACCTCCAGGATGCAGCAGTGATGCAGGAAATCTTCGTTTGCACCAAAGCTTGGAAAATCTCCGTTGCCTTTTAGGGGAGACAAATGTTTATACCATTCGATAGCAAGACAACCCTGGCATGGAAAGAACTCAATCTTAGCAAAATCCAAAGCCAAGCTCACTGCCAAGGAATCACCACTGCCTCATAGTGACCCCCTGTGGGTTTTTGAGACCGAAACTGTTTAGAGAAGTAGAAATCCCAGTCTTTCTCCTGAGGAGCTGCTGATATGTTTGAACTGTCAACCATAAGGTCACAGCCCAGCACACAACCACTGCATCAACTCAGGCTCCTAACAAAGGGAGCTGGATAGTTAAAGTGTCTCCCCCTCACCATCTCAAAAGCCTGTATATTTACATTCCTTGCTGACTTAAATGCAGTATATGGGCCAGCCTGATTGTCTATTTGGGGAAACCACAGTAAGTCATGTCCTCCTGTTAGGGTCTCAACATGTTTCAAACCGTGTCAGCAGGACCCGCTGAGCCTTATCTTGAGAAGACTAAGCAGTGACATCAGGGAGAATGTCTGTCACTGGAGACTAATAAAACCAAGAAGTTAAATCAACAGCCTCGGCCTAATGGGCAGTTCCTGGGTTGGAAGAAACCACTCTTGCCCTTGCAGTAGAGGTCTGGGTTTCTCAAATGGCATTATCTTTGCCTTATTCGAAAATACCCATGAGAGATGTAATGCTGTAATAGATTTATTCTTTATTTATGTATTCATCTGGCAAATATTTGCTCACCTCCTTTCCCTTAGATGCACGCTCTCTCTCCCGGGACACAGCCAGACCTGCAGACACACAGGCACAACAAGCTTTGCTATAAGCTTATTTTGTTCTAATTGGTACATGAAAAACGTGCACAGGACGGGAGAGGCTAGCTCTGCTTCTTTGAGCCAATAGGTGCCTTCTTTTCCTAGTGCTGCCATGACAAAGCCCCTGAAAGCTCGGTGTCTGCTGAGGCGATGCGTTTATTGTCTCCTGCTTCTAAAGACGAGGAGTCTGCGCCAGGGCACATCAGCAGGGCTGTTCTCGCTCCAAAGGCTCCGGAAGAAGAGTCTCCCCTGTCATTTCTGGCTTCCGGTAGCCTGCAGTGTTCCTTGGCTCGTGACCGCATAACTCCATCTATGCCTCGGTCTTCACAGACCCATCTCCCATCTATGTCTGTATCCTGACAGGGTGGTGTTGCCTCTAGGTGTCTCTGCTGCCCCCTCTCATCAGGATTTTATTCAGATTGATTAGGGCCTTCCCTACAACTGCCAGGTTGGCGGTTTGAACCTACCAAGCAACTCCATGGGAAGAAGACCTGGCGGTCTCGTTCTATGAAGAGTCTAATCTGTCATATAGGGTCGCAGTGATAAGCTGGGATTGACTTGAAAGCATTGATTACCAACAGCAGTAGCGTATTGGTTGATGCTGTATGTGTGTATGTGCATGCTTTGAATGTTTGAGAGATTTCTCTTTTGAATTCGTGAAGCACTTAAAGATAGAGGCTCAAAGGCAAGCCAAGCCAGCCCCTCTCGAAGCCTTTGATTCAATTTTAGGGCTGAAGGCGATTCTATCTTGGGTGGTTGTGGGGGACACTTGGGGACATGGAAGAACTAGGATGGCTAGTTGCCAACGGCAGCAACACTACTACCACTGCTCGCAAACAGACCAGGGCTGGCCACCACGGGCTGTGGGCTTTCCGTCTGTCTCCTGGTGAGTGAAGAGGCAAGGGAAGAAAAAGGGGCCCCACTGAAGGTCACAGTCAATTTTCTTCCTTCCTTGACCCTCTCCACAGCTGTCTCCTGTCACAGCCTCACGCTAACCTACCGTGCCACGAGCCTCTCTTCTCTGCAAAGGCAGGCAGGCTTGTCAGAAACCTGTGAGTGGCTCCGTCTACTGCGCTGGATGGCTATGAATTATCACAGAGTGAGAGCTAATCTTTCCCAGGGGTGTTTTATCAGCACAGAACTCCAAAGGAGTGGTGTCCAGGATTTCACATTACTTAGCAGATTTTATGAGCTACTAATGACCTCATGAAGGCGTTTTATGGACTGGGCTGATCTGGATTGGCACCGGCCGCTTACTTATCTCAATCCTTCCATCGCCACCCATCACCTGGTTCTTCTTCTCCAGCTCAGTGTGGGCCAGAAAACACCGCCCCCGTGTCCAGCCGGGAGACGTAGCTGCCGTTCTTTAACCCACACATGTGCACGCCAGTGTCCTCCAATAGTCAGAGAACGTGGGGGCCGTTTCTCTACCCCGTGACGGCATTAGGAAACCCAAGCAGAACAGCCTGGTGTTGCCACCTTTCATCAGTCGGTGGGCCCAGATTTCAGACAGAAACCAAAGGCCTGGTTTTCTGATCTGTGGAACAGGTGGGAAAGTTTGCTGGCCATTGTGGTCTATTTTCTCTCATTAATGATTCGTGAATCTAATCTGTTTTGTAGAGCAGTTGTAGGTTTGCAGACAAATTGGGCTGAAAGTTCCCCTGCCATCTCCTCTTCCCCCAGCATACCCACAGTTGACGCCAATGAACATTTGGCATTAGTGTGTGTGCGTGCCCTGGTGGGTGAGCCCATAGGGCCACACTCTTAAAGTCTGTAGTTTACATTACAGCTCACTCTTTATATTATATGTCCCCTGGGTTTTGGCAAATGGATAAGGTCACACGTCCCCTTTACAGCATCATTCAGGAGAGTGTCACTGCCGGCAGGCCCTGTGTGCTCCCTGTTCATGCCTCCTTCATCACCTGGGAGTCTCTTTTCATCTTGAAAGGTGGGGCTTCCCACTCCCATGAATACTTGTAATCTCAGAAACCCACAGGGGCAGTTCTACCCTGCCCTGTGCAGTTACTACGAGTTGGCATTGACTCGGTGGCAGGGAGATTGGTTTGGGTTTGGGGATTTCTGCCTTTAACAGAATGTCATCGAGTTGGGATCCTATAGCATTGAGATTTGTTTCACAGTCGCCTTGATGGCTCTTCCACTTGTGAGGCTCAGAAGTTTCTCACAGAGTGCACAGAAATGTTCCTTTTGTCTAACAGATGGCAGAGAGGAAGTCTAGCTACTTGGGTCATATTTCATTTCACATTTTCCTACTGCTTAGAAAAGAAAGCCTTGCCTGGAACAAGTGGGGCTGACAGGTTGACCAGGCAACCGGAGTCCACAGTAATTAATAACACAGTCAGGGGCCCTGAGGGCTGTCCGCGTCTGCTTTCCAGCGCCTTAAGAGAACTTCGAGAGAGGAAGTTTCTGATCCACCACCTAGTTCTGTATAGTAAAAGAAAATAAAACTACTCTCGGCCCCCACAATCACGAGGCATGAGGAAAAGGAGGTGACGTCTTTATACAAACAGGGTAGTTCTTAGTAAGCTGGGAAATGCGGTTTCTGAAAGCTCAAGAGAGAGACAGATAGACAACATCCCCTACCACTAGGCGAAGGTGACCGATAAACAGGTGGTGAGCTTTGATAAAACATTATTGGGAGTAGCCGTGAGCTCCCTAAAAATAAGCAAAGCCAAATAAGTGCATCACAATTTTGATCAGGTTACTGTTACGTCAAGGAAGTGCCCAAGATGTGATTTCCTGGAGATATGTGACACATTGCTTCCCCTTATGGAGGATCAGTTGTGGGTTAGAAGTTGGCTAGTACCTCTACAGGCCTTGTTTCTGATAGTCCTTCTCAGAAACATGCTATCACGATTCTTCCTAATTTATGAGCAGCTTGAAACTCAGAAAGATTGAATAAGTATGCCAAGGTCACGCAGCCAGTGGTGGCGGGGTGGATTTCTTCCTCGGGGCTCTTGACCACAGGGCATGCTGCCTCT